TTATATTAACAATATAAGGTATTATTAGCTCTTGGTCTCGTCTTTATCACAGGTGCCTGTCACAAGATAAGGCAACAGAATGTCGAGGATACGCGCATATTCATGTACCCGCGCTCTACCTGCGATCAGGATCACTGCGCATGCGGCACGACGGTGCATGTCGGCTGCGATAGCAGTACGCATGCGCTGACGGGAGGCGAGGCGATGACGTGCGCATGCCCGGAGCGCGGCAACGGCAGCTGGAGTTTCGCAGACGCCGAACCGAAGTGTGGTACGGAATTAGATCGTTTACCGCCCTAATTAATTAATTACTAACTAAACTGACTAATTATTAATTAAATTAACTAGTTAATTGATTAATTAATGCCTACGTACGGTTTACGTCGGCGCTCGACGTTTAGATATGCATAAATAGAGGTTTTGGCGGTCAGGCTGATAACTTTACCCGGATGACAGCGCGAGTAGGTTTGTTTGAGAAAACGTGTTAACGAAACCAGAGCAGCAGTGTCGTGGTAGATTTGTGCTCCACGGATTTTGCTAAACGGTACAAACATTGCCGTTCGATTATGTTTGTGTCGCTAAGTCGTAAAGCAGTTTAAGAACAATAGCAGTGTAATTGTGGGCATTTCCCTGCTACCGATTCTCGCAATTTACTCCTCTATATCACAAACGAGCCGTCTTTTAGCATTACACATTATAATTATGCGATCTCATTATAGCTTGCTAAAATAGAGGATTTTCGCGAAGGTAGATAAAATATAAGTTTAAGCTGGATTGTTGAAATCTGAATTTGTAAATCGGCCACGGAAACGTAAAACTGCACGCCGCAAGAGATCTATAATTAATCGTAACGATACATTGTTGATTTCAGTTAGAAAAGACGAAGATGTACAAAATAGGAAAACTATAAAGAAAGGTAGGGCTTTGTAAACGATTGAAACGAAAACGGCTAGGTAATACGCTAGTTGGACAATTTTGTCTATATAGAAGGCTAAATCTAATTATAATAATAATAAAAATATCAATTAAAATTTGTTGTTTGCATAAAATGTAAGTATAGTCTTAACAAATAAGGTATGTGATGGAACTCTAATTCGTCTTAATTCTTCTAGATAAATAAACAATATTACACCCGAGCCATTTAACCTTTTTTCCTGAACATAAAGTAGCTAACTATAGGAGCTATACTATACTATATTATACTATAGCTATATACTATATACTATATACTATAGCTATACTATACAACTATACTACATTGTTAAACATGTTCAAGGACAATACACCTCAATTATATGAGATTACAAACATACTTCAAACGTCGTGTGATTTCAACATGAATCGAACCCGGGGTAGAACATACACTACGCAGCTGTCAAATAGATCAATGATTGTAATTAATTAATTAAATGATTTTAAGTAATAGATTATATTAATGTGATAATTAATAGTGTTGGAAATAGTAGTAATAAGTTTTAGTGTAATAATGCACTGGAAAAGTGCGTATATATACCGGTTACAGAGGGTTTTAACTCAATGCAGTTCACCCGCGGCTGATCATTGGACTGTCTCTGGGAGGCATTGTGTTGCTGCTACTGCTGCTTCTGCTCATCTTCTGCTACGTGTGCTGCTGGATGCAGATAAATAAGAGAGGTTCTATGAGCTTCTTCCGAAGGACGTTGCGCATGAAGAGGAAGAAAAACTCACGGGTAACTATAATCAGTGTGATGAAGTGTGTGAGTGTGTGTGTGTGTGTGTGTGTGTGTGTGTGTGTGTGTGTCTGTGTGTGTGTGTGTTTCTGCTGCCTGTCTGCCTGTCTGAGCGTGTGTTCGTGTAATCGTTTTACCTCATAGCTACTAAGCTAAGTATTTTGAAATCGTGCAGCATAATCGTTGTCCGCCATATTAGGCCTTATCTCGATTTTTTTTTCTCATTTCGTTTTTTTCAATTTCTGCAGCGTCATCTAAAAAAAATTCTGTAAAGTCATGTTACGCGATCGCTGTGGCTTAGTTGCGTACACGCACCATCAATGTAAAACACACGTGATTCGGTCGTGTACACGCAAAATTCGATGAAGCCCGCGGCTCAGTGTTGCACACGCAACATTAATTTTGCTCAACACGTTGCTTTTGCCATTGCGTTTGCTCAACAACGTTGCTTAACAGTCGAGTGCACGCAACATTCGTTGAAACACACGTTGCTCAGTCGAGTGCACGCAACATTCGTTGAAACACACGTTGCTCAGTCGAGTGCACGCGACGCTCAGTGCAATGCGTGTGGCTGGAATCGTGTGCACACAACACTGTTTTTGCACTACCAACTTTTAGTTAAAAAGTTGTCGAGCTGAGCACGCTGATAAATTTTTCGACTGAAAGTTGACAGTGTAAAATGCCAAACGTTGAGCGCTCAACGTGTCGATGCCAGAAAGCTGAGGGAATAGAACGCTTTCTGATTTCTCAAATTTTTCTCAGCGACGTGATTACCCTTTCATACTCGGTGTGTGCTTGCGTATGTGTACATGCGTGCGTGCGTGCGTGTCTATGTGTACATGCGTGCGTGCGTGCGTGTGTATGTGTACATGCGTGCGTGCGTGTACATGTGTACATACGTGCGTGCGTGTGTATGTGTACATGCGTGCGTGCGTGTGTATGTGTACATACTACAGCACTTACCTTAAATGCAAATCGACACCTATCCGCACGTCATACAACACTTATCCTTAAATGCAATCGGCACCTATTGCCGCACGTAATACAAGCACTTACCTTAATCCAATCGAACCTATCCGCCATCGTATTACAACACTTACCTTATTGCAATCGCGCACCTATCCGCACGTACTATAGCACTCTACCTTATGCATCGGCACCTATCCGCCCAACGTTATACAAACACATTACCTTATGCAAGATCGGCACTATCCGCACTTATAATAGCACTTCCTTTATGCAAATCGGCACCTATCCGCCCACGATATACAACACTTACCTTATGCAATCGGCCATACTAATCCGCGACGTGTATACAGCACTTACCTGATAATGGGACACATGATTCTACATTCTAATTATATACACTTACTACTTCCTCGCGCGGACCTATACCACATAAGAGCTACATAAATACTAAAGGTACTATCTTTAACGGTCATCTATACCAAGGCACTTATATACTAAGGCAGTATTATATAATAAACGGTATTATTATAGCTCTTAACCACACTTAACCAGGCGCCACACTTGACCGGCGCGACGCATAGGTTGTTGACACGGAGCCTAGTGCCGTGTTGCGCGATCGTGGCGCACCCGCGGTAGACGCGGACCGTACGACCCGTACCTATCACTCCAGCAGGACGACGTCGCTGTGATCGATCATCCACGCAAGCGTCAATCCTCGGTGTCGCGTCGCCGGTCGGTGTCGTACCGTCTGCCGTCGTCGTTCGTCGTCGCACGGTCGTTCGTCAGTCGTGGCCGTTCGTCGTCGTTTGTCGTTCGTCGCGACGAGGGATGAGGATGAGGAAACGGAGGAGGAGCGATGAGGAAAAAAGCGAGGAGAGCGTCGATGTCGGTACTGGTCGCATCCACGCGGAAAGTCAGCTGCGGTGGAGGCGCTCATCCTGGCTCGCGTCTTCGTGGACAGCTGTCCGATGCGCGACTAGCCGATCACGATGTCGCGTCGAGATTGGTGCTAGCTGCGGTAAACTGCATCCCCGCATCTGCACGTACACATACACACGCACGCAGCGTATGTACACGATAGGCCACGCACGCACGGCATGAACAACATACACACGCACGCCACGATGACTATATATACCACAGGCACGCACGCATGTTACACATACCACACACGACACGCATGGTACACATACAACACGCACGACGTAATGTACACATACACACGCACGCACGCATGTACACACACCACGCACGCACGCATGTACGACACACACACACACACGCATGTACACACTACACACGCACGCACGCTATAGTACAACACACACACACAACAGCGATTGATACACATACACACTGCACTGCACGTATGTACAGATAGACACGCAGCGCACGGCATGTACTCACACACACACACTCAGCATGTACACGCATGTTACACGCACGCACGGCATTGTAGCACATACACCACGCATTTCGCACGGCATGTACACACAACACACACACACGCACGCATGTACACATGTGACACGCACGCCATCACGTATGTACACATACACACGCACGACTGCATGTACACACACACACACGCACGCATGTACACTGCCTTACACCGCACGCACGTATGGTACACAATTAACACACGCACGCACGCATGTACACACACACACACACACACCACACACAACAACACACCAGCACACACACACACACACACACACGCCAGTCGCAATAACATACAACACGCAGCCACGTAATGTTACACATTACACCCGACACGCACGCATTGCCACTACACACACACGCACGCGACACGTCCATGTACAACATACCAAGCACGGCACGCACGCAGTGTACACACACACACACACGCACGCTATGTAACACCATTGTACCACGCACGCACACATGTACACCATAGCACAGCGCAACGGCACGCATGTACACATAAACGCACGCAACGCATTGTACACAACACCACCTACCCACGCACGTATGTACCACCGATACACCACGCGACGCCACGTATTGTACACCATTAGGCACACCGCACGCACGCCATGTTACACACACACACACACGCACCGCAATTACACATGTACACGCACGCACGTATGTACACGATAACACCGCACGCCACGCATGCTACAGCACACACACACACGCACGCATGTACACAATGTACACGCACCGCACGTATGATACACATACACCACCGCACGCACGTCCATGCTACACACTAGGACACGCACACTACGCACGCATGGTACACAATTACACGCCGCACCGCACGCATGCACTAACACATACACACACACACTCATGTACACAATACAGCACGCGAACGCACGTATGTACACATAGCACCACGCACCACACAGCACGCATGTACACATACGCAAGCACACACCGATGTGTGAAAGCGGTAACTCACGCTCCAGCTGAGATTAAAATTTGAAAGAAATCAGGAAGCGTTCTATTCCCTCAGCTTTCTGGCATACGACACGTTGAGCGCTTCAACGTTTGGCATTTTACACTGTCAACTTTCAGGTCGAAAAATTTAATCAGGCGATGTCAGCTCGTGTCAACTTTTCTTAAAGCTAAAAAGTTTTTGTAGGAATCGCAAAAACCAGTCGTTTTGCTGTGCACACGATTCCTGCCACACGCAATTGCACTGCAGCGTTCGCGGCTGCACTCGACTGAAGCAACGTGTGCTTTTCAACGAATGTTGCGTGCACTATTTTAAAATTACAGTATTGCCGTGCTGCACACTGAGCGCGGGCTCATCGAAATTTTGCGTGCTACACGACCGAATCAACGTGTGTACTGATTTGATGGTGCGTGTACGCAAACTACAGCCACAGCGATTGCGGAACAATGACTTTACCATGAATTTTTTTTAGATGAGCGCTGCAGAAATTGAAAAAAACGAAATGAGAAAAAAAAAATCGAAGGATAAGGCTACATATGGCGGACAACGTCTATGTTGACGATTTCAAAATACTTAGCTTTAGTCAAGCTATGAGGTTAAAACGATTACACGCACACACGCTCCATGATCAGACAGACAGCAGGCAGAACATCACACACACACCACACACACAACACACACACACTACACACACACACACACACACCACCACACACACACAACACCACCACGCACGACACACACCACACCACACAACACACACACACACACACAACACAACACACACACACACAAACACACACAAACACACACACACCACACATCACACACACGACACACAAACCACAAAAAACATACATATACATCACACACACACAACACACACACACCACACGACCACGACACATACCACAGACACACAACACCACACACGCACAACACACACACACACCACACACACACAAACACACACAAACACACACACACACATCTAAACCAACATCACACCACGACACACACACTCCACCACACACACACACACACACACACACACACGACACATAACACACAGACACACACACCACACACACACGACGACATCACACACACACAAACACACACACACACAAACACCACACACACAACACAAACACACACATCACACAACACCACACACACACACATAAACACACACACACGACACACACACACACACCACACACACCACGACACACACACCTAACACAAACTCACACACCACACACACATGCACACACACACACAACACACGACACAACACACACATAAACACACTCACACACCACAACACAGCACCTACACAACACAAACTCACCACACACAACACACATCAACGACACACAAACACCCCACATGCACACAGCGACACACACACACACACAACACAGCACACCACACAGACACAGCAACTCATACCACTTCTATCACACTGATTATACGGTTACCGTGATTGTTTCTTTCACTCTTCCATGACGCTAAGCGTCCTTTTGCGGGAAAGACAGGCTCATAGAACCTCTTTTTTTATCCTGTCATCCCAGCCAGACACGTAGCAGATGATGAGCACGAAGCAAGGTAGTCTAGCAGCATACACATGCCCTTCCAGAGACAGCTCCAATGGATAGCGTGGAAACTCTCCCTCCTCT